CTGGCGTGTGGACAAAGTAGGCAAGGTAAAGGTCCAGCTCCTTGACGGACACTCCGATGTGGTGCGGCTGGACGCACAGGCCAGGGTTGGTGCACTGTGGGGACTTGACAAGCCGCTCTCCGTCCGTGCTCTCTAGAGGACTCCCCTTGAACAGGATGACCATCACCAGGTCCAGCCGCCACACCTTGTCGGCCTGACGCAGGCAGTCGATGCGACGGATCTTGCCCTTCTGGTCAGGATTGGACAGCACGCAGCAGGGGGGCTTTTTGCCTGTAATGGTGAGCACAAAGTCCTCGCGGAACTCGGGCCGGATGTCCTTGCGGAGCTTGGCCAGCAGGCGCGAGGCCCACTTCTGTTTAATCTCTGGCTTCTCCCCGAGCAGCTCATCCTTCACCGCACGCTCTTCCTCCTTGGACATGCGCTTCTCGTGCTTCTTGAAGTACTTGCGCTTGCGGGCCTGCAGGTTGAACCAGGTGTAGGCAAAGGCGCGGACATGGGGTAGAAGGGCCTCGATGAAGGGGTGGAATTCATCCTGGATGAGAGAGGAGGACGGGGGGAGGGCGGACGAGGAGAGGGAGGAGGGGGGGAGGCAGGAGGAGGCAGAGGAAAGAGAGGGGGAGAACGGGGGAGAGAAGGATGGGGAGAGAGGAAGCGGGGGTGAGGAGGGGAAGAGAGAGGAGAGGCAGTTAGGACCGGCACGCAGCATGGAGGACCGGCACCTGCTCCGTGTGAGCGGAGGGAAAGAATGAGAGAGAGGCGCAAGGAGACTGACAGAAAGAAAGAGAGATAGTGATGGAGAGAGAGCGAAGGATGCTTTCCACTCTTTAACACAACACACTGAAGGACACGTATACAAACCACTGACAGGCTAAGGTAAGACATGAACAAACCAGGGGGGGAAATATGCTGCATACATTTCTTTTAAATATTCGTTCTGAATAGAAAACTTTGACACTTATAAGTGAATCATGGTCTATTTTAGGTTAAAATAATTACTAATTATTAGAGGTAAAAAAAATACTGAATTAGAATTAAATAAAAAAACAGACATAAAAATCCCACTATTTATTTTGATTTTTTTAAACAACTGGCTTTAAAAATGTGAATGAAAAACTACAACGACATGGTATTTACCATTTCGCTCTTTCATCATAAATTCAATCCATCGACTGTGGGGGAAACTTAAAATGCAGACCAGAACCAACGCAGTGACGGGACTGGTGAGCGTTGGAGTGCTGCGGTGAATTTTACAAAACAAAGGAGCGAGGAAAAAAAAAAACAAACAAAAACAGAAGCTGAGACACTGTCCAATAGAAGCGACGAGGGGGGAGAGAGAAAATCGGAAAAAGAAGAGTGCAATACCAGCACAGGAACACAAGAGGTACTGGAGCGAGAGCAGAGAGCGGAATAGGTGCTGCTCAAGAGCACAATGGAAGGAGAGTGCAGAAAAGTTTTTCAACCATCTCTGTGCAACCGACTCAAATAAAACAGAGACGCTGGTGTGCAAAAAATTACATTTATATAACTGGAGCAAAAAAACTGATCAATTTGTCAAAAATCCAAACATTCTCCTTTGTTTACAAAAAAATATTAGAAAAATGTTTCCATCAAAAACAAAATGGGTTGGCAAACCTGCATGTAGTATTGGTTGTATTCTGAGCTGCAAAAGAGTCAGAGAGAGAGAGAGAAAAAGAGAGAAGAGCTGTACAAGGGGGGGTGCGAACGGAGAAGAAGAAAAGGAGGAAAAAAAAACAAAAAAAAAAACAAGAGGACCGAGTAAATGTTGGAAGACTGTGCACGACCACTGGCAAACCCGAGTGGAGCTTCTTTTTCCCCCCTTCTTTCTCTCCAACTCTGGCTCTCCCGTTCTCTCTTCCTCTCCACTTTCCGTCTCTAACCATTGAGTGAGTCTGTGCCAACATGCAGAGGGCCCACCTATTTGGCACCGAGTCTCCCGCAGCCCAGCCAATACGCACGCTCCCACTGCTCAAAGGGAGGGAAGAGAGAGATGGCAGAGGGAGAAGCAAAGAGGTGGGGGTGTGGATGGTTGGTGGCTGGTGGTGGAGAAAGGATTTTTTTTTTGGGGGGGGGGGGTTGTGTGCGGTGCAGGCAGAAGGCACGTCATTAGCCAAAACGACAAGTTCCAATCTAGTGCAAAGGCAAAGTCCAGAGGATATTAATTTTACATGGATCCAGACAGCAACCGCCCCCTAAAGTTAACACCCCGCACCAACACTACCATCACCACCTTCGTCACCAACATGGTCACAGTCACCCCAACAAACCAGCTTAAAACACACTCTCTCTGTTCTCGCGTTACACCACCTTGGCATGGGATGGCATGAGAAAACACAGACCCAAAAATCCCACTAGACCCTGGGACCAGCAGCTGCTCCTGGATTTACCACACAAACAAAGGGAGGAGGGGGGGACTGCAGTGGTGGTGGTGGTGGTGGTGGGGACCCCCCCCTCCACCACCACCCCGCCCAAAAAAACAAAAAAATACCATCCAAAAACATGCTCTCTTCTCAAAATGCTCTCTCGTGTCCAAACTGGCCCCCTTCTTCTCCTCTCCTCTCCATTTTTCCTCACTCCACTTTAATAGCCCCCAACAGCACAGACACAGAAACATATTAAAAGTTTCTGTTAACAAATGAGGGTTCAATCCTAGTTGAGGGTGAGAGACAATTAAGCAGACTGCTGAAAAAAAAAAATGCTGTGGTGGCCAGCTTCACATGAGCAGCCCACGCATGTTATGCTTCTTAATACTGCGGCCGAATATTGGAGCTGTCCTAAACAGCCACTTCTGATTCATTAGCAGCCTTCCTAAGCAGATAAGCCAGACCTCAGACATATTAAAAAGCAGGTTTTCCTGCTGCAGACACTTTATTGCCTATTGGCTTTATTTGGTGGAGCACAGCTGGTTGCCCTCATCTGCTATACAATGCCAGATAAAAGTCACTCTGCAAGTTGGGAGAAAAGTCTGGCTAAAAATGCACCAACCAAGAACAAATTCTACAAAATGTTGTTCCATTTGCAATGATTGGATTTTAAAAAAAGCATGGCACAGCCCTCCAATTAGAAATACTTTTAAATGTCAGTCTCCCACATTTACAAAAAAAAAAAAAAGAGACTGAGAGATAAATAAAAGGGGCACATTTGCTGAATGGTGCTGTCCAAATTGCATGAATTAGCCCACGAGGCTCACAGGAATTACAGAGACATTGTCAAAACTGGAATGTCGACAGTGGGCATCCATAAAAAGCTAGCTTGTCATGAGGCAAAGTTGAGGGCACAGCCATGTGATTGTGGGTTGAAGCCACCTGCTGTGCAACGGGACAAGTTGCCTGTGTGAACGGCCTACAAAGGCTATAGAGTCCTCTGGTTGGCTCCCAGGGCCATCAGATTTAGTGCGGCCTGCCCCTTCTGACAGGCTGGCGAACTGGCTGCGAGGTTGGCCGGGAAGCTGTATGGCTGGCTGGGTAAATGACTAGTTGGCAGCACAGGCAGGTAGCTAGCTGGCTATAGTTGGTGGTCTGCTCTGCTGGCTGGTCACTGCTATTGGACCGGCCCGAGCCGGGCCCGGTGCCGCTTGTTCACTCTAACATACGCCAGCTCCACACAGCCGAGCTGATGATGTGAAAATGTGGCAAAGGGAGAAGATAGTTGGGCAAGATGAGGTCTGAAAACTGAATGAAAGAAAACTGAATTAAAAAGGGTTGAGTATGTTTTTTTATTACATATAACAACAAATAAATGGAGTGATTATTAGAAATGCTAAGGGGTTATTAGGAGATTTTGATTCATTAGCCGCACAGAGAAAAACGGTCAGAGATGCTTACAAATCCAGTACTATGATCCTGTAATTAGGTGACGGATGAAATTCACAGGATAGTTTTAAAGGGTAATTATAACCTCTCCCTAAAACTGGTGACACATTTCTCTTTTGATGATCCAGCTCTGCCAGATTCTCTCCTCTGTGTAACTCTTATAAAACGAGCAACAAAAGAACAAGGTCTTCATGAACCTATTATATGATTAAATTAGTGAGTAAATCAAAATAAAATAACTAAAGCTTTGTTTTGATAAAAAAAAGAGGGCTGAACATCACTTGGCAGACCAAGCAGAGATTGTTTATGACTTTGGCCCAGGTTGGGCGTCCATGTGGCCCTCTGTCCTTTCAGTGGTTTTAAAACCCACATTTCTTTTCATTAATGGCACTTTCTCTTGCTTACTCTGGGAAATTCACTGCAATGAATATAAAAATTTAGGTGCAATTTTTGATAACTCAGCCAGTGGACATAATACAGCTTATCTGCCATGCAAAATTTTAAGTGAGAGTTCATATCTCATTTTAAAAAAACAACAAAAACAAAAAACAAACGGATGACCTTTGTTTGGCAGGCTGCAGGCTGGGCAAAGCAGCCTAAATTCAGGAAAAAAAAGGCAAATAAAAGCTTGTATAGGAGGGCGGGAATGAAAGACACTTCCCCTTTATTCTACTTTATAAATAAAAAAAAGGGGGGAAGATTTAAGCCGCATTAGTTCCCAGAACAAAATATGAACTTTTTCAGCGCGTTAGAAAGAAAACACGGACGTTTGGGGCAACTTGGCGTTGGTTATTACACCAAAAAGGATGAAAATAGTGGCAAACGATAATAGCAATAAAATAAAACACAAACTACATTTATTTTCACCCATAACGTTATTTTAAAAAGCTATTTTTGGCCTCAGTTATCGGCTTAAATAACTGGGAGTTAAAGGGAGAAACGCGACTCTTGGGCATGTAAAAAAAAAAAAAAAAAAAAAAAGAAAAAACAACAACAAAAACAAACTATGTCGTGTATTTTGAAATTATTTCTGTAATAAATTACATTAATTTTTTTCCCCCAAAGAAAAAAAAAGAACCGTTCTCTTTTATCCATTTTTTTTTCTACCCACTGTGTATCAGTCGACCCACTTCTCTTCCAAATAGAAAACAGGTGTTGTTCAGTTTACGTCTGTGAAAAGAAAAGAGAAGCACCAACCTGCTGCAGGGAGAAATGGATCTGAGGTTTTTAAACACTCGGTCCAATTAAGGTTAGAACTGGAGGCGCGCGCGCTGAACCAAAGAAGGAAAAAGAAACGGGGAAATAAAAGGACCCCGCTTTTCAAGCAGTCCCTAACTCCACCCCCCAAAAAAATGTCTTACTTTTTTTTTATTACAGCAAATTTAACAATTTCATAGACAAAAGGGGGTAACTAATAAGGTAATCAAAACACGTCCCTAATTAATTAGTTTCCGTGACGTTTAGGAAGTTTTTGAGGAGGGCCAGCCGGGCGCTCAGTGAATAGGAGGGATTTTCACAGGCTGGACTCTGGCCTGATTCCAGTGGTTTTCTTAGACAGCTCAAAAAAAAAATAAAATAAAAAAAAGTTAAAAAATAAAATAAATAAAAGTGGTTACTGGAGAAGTCAATTACCTTTTACAGCCACTTTGTTTATCTCTTGCTTTTGATTTTAAAAAAGCATCCATTCAATGACACCTTTTTCACTGCTTGAGCCATCTGCAGTTATACCAGGAGCATAAATACAGTACTTCTTGCACTTGGGTCTATTTTTTTTTTTAATCAAAGAAATATTATTATTGAGTGTATTAATAGCTTTTCAAAATGTAAGAACAGAAGCAGCTGTTTTATATAATAACTAAAGCTCTTTCTCATTTTAAGCTCTAAATTGCCTAAAATGTTTAAAACATAAGTAGGTGGTTTGCAATATTTTGAAAAGGTGATTTATTTAAAAACCTAATAATAACAATTGTAATACATTTAAGAAAAGGTGAAAATATTAAATAAATTGTAGAATATGAAAGTCTTATTATAAATAAAAATAGAAAACAATAAAAATAGAAATATTTAATTAGAAGCAGATAATTACCATTATAGTAATTGTTATTGATTGTAATATTTTTGACTATTTGATAGTGATAATAGTTAGCTGCAAATACATATTTTAATAACAAAATACATATCATAATAATTAAATATTTAAACATAATAACATTTATCCCAGTAAGGAAAAGACAGTTTTTCTAACACAAATTATAGACATTTGGTTTTTCTTTTTTTTTTTGTGTTTTTTTTTTCTTTCCCAGTCAAATAATGTGAAACACACACACACACACACACACATTCCAAAATGAGATCTCTCACAGTGTTTCCTTTACAACATCTTGGTTATTGTCAATTTACACTGAAGATGTCAAAGATATATTCCAGTTGTGACACATCTGGTTCAGCTACGAGTCTCAGCAGCTTGGTGTGTGTGTGTGTGTGGAGGTGTGTGTGTGTGTGTGTGTGTTTGTTCTGACCAGTACAGACGGGCTGTTTGATTTGAAGGACTAATATTTATTTGATCTATTAATATTATCTGTATTATATTCACATAAATTTATTTATTTTTTTAGCTTGAACATTTTAAAGGAATTGGTATTTTATCAATAAATAACACTTCTAGCTCTATTGTATAGGCAAATGCATTAAAAGACATATGAAAAGTTTTACTAAAAGAATATTTGATGGTCTTTTTCAAACCCTATAAAATTTATATTTTGCAAAGTGCTGAACAGCCCATAAGTGGAGGAAAATAAATTATGGAAACATTAATGTCATCTTTTATTTCCTGATGAGCAATATTATAATATAAAAATGTCATTTTTCATCCTTCAGCCCCAGCATCTGCCTTGACATATGGACACAGTGTTTCTACTAACGTTTTCTGCAAAACAAATCCTTGCTTCAGCTCAATTTATTCAGATCCCCAAAAGGAAAGAAGAAAATAAAAATCCAAATTTTCTGCTATCTTTCTTTCATCACTACAGATTGATG